ATGTACCAAGCTACGATTTTTACCTTCAAAGTTTCCTCAATTTTCAGTGTTCGTCTTGGCCCAAAGACAAGGAATCTCGGCGCTTCGAAAACAATGCGAGAAAAAAAGTTCCTTTGAAATATTTTTACATTTTCGAGTTGTCCTTGTAATGCCACACTCACCTGAAAAAGATTATCTTGTTACGTTGACGCGTCTATTTTAACCAGCGACTTGAAAAACTGCTAATTTGCAGTAATTTTTTATGGCGGCTGCGACGCTGACCCGGGATTTCACGTTTTGCTCAATTTCTCCAAAAGGAAATTTTTTTGGAAACTTTGATTGTAGTTTTCGAAAATGTTTTACCAAAGGGTTTTTTCTGACAAAGTATGAAGAATTTCGAAATTTCGGTTTTGACGGCGAATTCTCGATATTTACAGACGGCCGCTCTTAAGCTCGAGAAAGGCTAGAATTTTGTGGATAAAAGTTACATTCCTCTAAAATAGTTGGTTTCATACGATTTTTTCAATTTGGGAGTTTGTGTTTTTCACATTTTATTACCAAGATATTGCGCGCGATTGTTGTTTAAAAAAGTCTTCCAAATATTTCGGTAAAAATTCAAAACGTTCCGTAGAATCTTCTACTTAAGGTGCGGCTACTCCATGTCCTCAAACTTGCGATCGAACCCATCAGGGTAGCTAACAGTTTCAGATCAGATGAGACAAAAACGCCACCCTAAACTTTTTACACGATTAAAGTTCCCCTAAGACATCCAAACAGATCAATAGTATTTAGGGAACCTCCAAATTTAAGATAACTAATCGCTCGGACTTTGATGCTGACTTCTGTTACTTAATTGTAACTGAATATAAGCACAGAAAAATAATCTTACACGATAAGCCAAAGAATCAAGAAGAAGATAACAAAGGGAAAATAAAGGTCGGGAAGGGTAGTAAATTCATATTTCACGCACAAGTTATTTTATTTTAAAGCCCTTTTATTTATTGAGAAAACAAAAAGTCGCTCAAGCATTGTTGTCACCTCGTAACATGTAATGTAAGCTTCTGAAGGTTGAAACCCTGCACTTTCAAAAGAGATTTGATGCGGAAACCTAAACCCCTGGCTCTAACAATCAAAATTTACTTTAGCTTGCTTAGTATACTGATTACCACCGAAATATTACTCTGCTCATGATTATCGTTCAAAGTAAAACAAAAACTGTGGCTTTGCTCTTATTAAGCCTGTGGGGGAGGTACTTCTTCCACGTATATCCGGGACACTGAGTTCCAGCCTGTGTAGGCATCAGCAGATCCGTATCTAGCACAATCACCGACCCAGAATCCCACGCGAACAGTACCCTTGTGGATTTTCTCACAGACTCCTTCAATGTGACGTACACGGTGTAAGTTCTTTTTCGTGCCATTTCCATGTACCATGTAGACCACACCGTCAATGGCACCTGGTGTTGAACACTCTGCACCGTTAAAAGTGAAATACCATCGTCTGCAGCATGCATGGCAGTTGTAGAGACGAAGAGTGCCACTCCAGAAGACCCGCAACCCTGAAGTGTCTGATGCTTTCTTAAAAATGCACTCCTTAAAAATGAACAGACGAAGAAAGTTCAGCGAGGTGAAGCGAAATTAAACATCATAGATAAACAATTATATGATCGTCTAGAAAAACTGATTTGAAAGCTTTGGGTTTCACTCGTGGTAACTGAGGAATTTCTCCGTGGAAACATGTTCACCATGGATCAATTAAAACCAGTAAACTCATATTTCCATCATGAATAGTGAAGGGGAATTGTTTCAACTCCTCTGACTCCTCGCTGGGCTGACAGTGTTACTGTGCTTTTGTAACTAATTTCACCATCAATACTACCTTCGACCGTTGCGAATCAAAGGAGTAGCGTGACCATTTTCACAAGAAGGCACAGGGGTCCATATGGTTTTAAAAACTTTAAACAAAATAACGTTTTCGCTTGCCTTTAATACATAATTATTTCGACAGTTTACAGGCTTGTTTACAATAGAACGTGATGTCAAAAAAAGGTTTTAAAACGTACTTCTTTGAGCTGGTACTGGAATGTTTACCAGCACACAAGGCGAGGCGCCTTATTTTGTACAGAAATTTGGAGTTTAAAAGCATCGGTTGGAAGAATTGCGGTGTGTGCATGTTTGTGTAATTTTTCTGCACGCTTATTTCTTTGCTGACTTTTGAGTTTTCTCCTCATCTCGATCATGAGCAAGGGAGAGGAACAAACAATTGTAGTCAGCATTTATTTATTTTCAGTTGTACTGAATCTCTTGATGTTTGTCGTTGGAAAAAAAATACGACATCTGCTCGCCAGGAGTAAATTTCCTGCAAAATTGAGCTTTTGAATGGGAAAATTTTCCAGATAAATCTTGAAAGGAATAATAATCAGTAAGGGTCGATTTTTTCCGTTTCTTGAATGCGCAATGTATTGTGGGATCGCCAGAAGGCAAATACTTCAAGGATGTTTCGAATTTATCACATTCCACTACTCAAAGTGTTGTATTCTACGATGCCAATAACAACGAGACAGACAGCAACAAATATGCACAATACAAAGTCAAGTCACAAAGCTATAAATGGCTTTTACTTATAACAGAAAATTCTTTTTGGCAATTAGCGGAAAGGACGCCACGACCCTGCGAATTTCACTCAAATTCAGACAAAAACTATACGTATATCTTAAACTGATGAATTTTGCCTTTTCCCTGCATTTATCATTCCATGAACCGCTCGCACAAGTTCCGAAACACGGATTTTTTTTCTCAAATGACTCACCTCGAGTTTTTAAACCTGAAAATACACTACTGCAAGTGTTTTTAATGGCTTCAAAATCTCTGATACAGATCAACTCATTCTTGCACTTATATTTAAATTTGGGGTTATTTTGGTCTAAATTGGACAAAGTTTAGCCGTGTCTTTATCAGAAATAAAGACACCCATTAAACATTAGTTTCTTTTGTTCTGTCTTTAATTATTAATGAGTTTTTAAATCGGTCTTAACCAGACTTATTAGGTTGCTTCGGGTTAATTTATATAATCTAGAACGACCGACTCAATTGTTACCTTTATCAATCCAGAGTCCCTTCCATCGTTCAGATTCTTAAAAACGCACTGTTTCCAATCACGGCCAAACGATCCTGGAGCACCCTTGGGACCTGAGGGACCTTGACTTCCACGAGCACCTGTATCACCCTTGTTTCCAGGGGAACCAGCTGAACCTGCTTCACCTTTATCCCCACGTGGACCTGGCTTCCCTGCAGGTCCTTTAACTCCTGGTGCTCCCTGTCTTCCACGGTCTCCTTCATCGCCTTTCTTTCCCCGTGGTCCCATGGGTCCTTCAGGTCCATGATTGCCAGGTGATCCCGCAACACCTGCTGGTCCCGCGGGTCCAGGGCTTCCTGGGATGCCTGGAATTCCTGGTGCACAGAAACACCCACCATGACCACAGGAACCATAAGGTGAAGTCTGTTGTGGAATATTTAAAAATTCATTCCGTTTTAATTTATGATCACTCGATTAAGTCAATCAATCAACGTCAGTCAAGCATCCTTACATAAAAAATCACCGTTCATTCATTCTACCTCACTAAGTTCTTTCAGGTTAATAGTTCAAGTAGGATCAACTGAACTTCACTTCTGATATATTAAAGCTATATATTTCAATGTTTGTTTAAAAACACACCTTGTCACATGGTTTGCTGCTGTTGTTGTCATTTGCAGAACACAAGGTAATCAGCAGTAAGAGCAGCCCGCATAACACAGTAGCCAGCGGTATCTTCATAAAGGTTTGCATGATGAGGAAACCTGTGAAAACAGGAAAACGCTCAAAATTATGGCCAAATATTCTTTAAAAAAGCATCGCTTTCAATGATTTGCTAACAATTTTTTTTTCAAAATGCGGATAACAAGCAACGCGAATTGATGATCTGTGGCGAAGTTACTATGATTTGTTTCGGAGAGAAAAAAAATCAGTTTCATCTATCAATTTCAGGCCGGCCTTTAGCATTACTTGAGAACATTACCATGTCCTTGCAATTATATGTCTGACTTACACGGCCGCTTAAAACTCTTCGACATTTCGTTGAAACGCTCGCTTAAGATTTTATCGCTGATGATAGAACGTTAGCGAGTGCTAAGCAATATTCAAACAAAAAAACACACAACAAAACAAGGCTAGTAGCAGTAAGCCTTATATTTAATATTTCGTGNGGCCTTTAGCATTACTTGAGAACATTACCATGTCCTTGCAATTATATGTCTGACTTACACGGCCGCTTAAAACTCTTCGACATTTCGTTGAAACGCTCGCTTAAGATTTTATCGCTGATGATAGAACGTTAGCGAGTGCTAAGCAATATTCAAACAAAAAAACACACAACAAAACAAGGCTAGTAGCAGTAAGCCTTATATTTAATATTTCGTGAAAAGAAACAGTTCAAATTGAAACCAGACAAAAAAGAACTCCAGGCAATCGTTTAATAAAACTCAATTATTTTAGTTTGATACGAAGGATTGTTGGAAACATTGATCAAGACCTACCTTCCTTTTATGAACGACTGTAGTGATCCAAAGACGAATGATAATTTTTTTTGGTATTTTCAAGGATTTTAAGTCCTATTTTGACCAATTTTACATAAAAACGTGTTTTAGACAAGTTTGAAAGATTGTTAAATGTAAGTTACTAGAAGTATTCCCATTGGCTGCATGTAAATCAGCTAGTCTTAACTGACCCTCAACTGAAAGGAGTCATGCTCTCCTTTTGTTTTATTTAAGTTGCAAGTTAAAACGAGTTGGAAGGCTCCATGACGTTAAGCAATTATTTTGAAAACCGGCCAATGATAAGAACTGTTTTAAACTTCCTTTGAGATACAAGTTGATCAAAAATAAGTCCCGCAACAAAATTATTAAACCAAAACATTTTTCCCGCTAAAATTTACTCCAGAGTATTGAATATACAGAGGCACCCAACGGGAAATTTTGAGAAAAAGACCTAAAAACAACAACAAAGCGTGAATAAAGTTTTCTGAGACTATTTTAAACATTTTGGGAGATTGCTGGAAAAAAATTATCTGTTCCTCACTCCCAGCAAGACTGATAGAAGAGTTCCCAGTCAGCAACCTTACAACCTGCAACCTGACTTACTGGGAAGTTTCATAGGGCACAATTCAGATCTTGAGTTGTAAGTAACCCATACAAGTAAACCGTAGCAGCTTTTCTAGACTTCAAATCCCCTCTGACACCCTGAATTATCTTTTTCCCAGCAACACTTTCCTTCCAAGGACTATTATTTCTTTCACATCTCCCAGCCAGCAAAAATGTGCCTGAAGAACAGATATTTTCAGGAACAGATCCATCGGGTGCCCCTGAATATACTCTGACTAAAATTTATTACACAAAAATACAGTACTAAGAAATCGTGCCTGGTCATATACAATTCGCCTTTTCAATTCAGAAACAAAACGGTATACAATGAATTGGTTCTACATAGTGTACGCATACTGTAGTATTGTGTGAAAATCTCTATTTCTATTACACCCTGATTGCACGTACCAAGAGCCACACAAGAACGAAAATATTATCAATGCTGGGTACTACGTACTTTTTGAAAATTAATTCTTAGCAAGAAAAACCAATGTGTCCTAGTATCGTGAATGCCGTACGGCCGTTCTTCAGGATATCCCATGGATCGCTTACACACTACACGAAATCGTGACTTTCTTGAATCTATAAGCTTTAGTTTTTAATCCAATCTGTCAGCAAGTTCTCTGTTGCTCTTTATGTTGTTAATTTAATTAAATACTTCGAATGTTTAACCCCACAATCAGTAAAATCTGGCAGAGGAGGGAAACTATTTTGAAATAACAAAGTTTAGAAGGAATGAAATCACGCCATCTCACAAGCACGCTACACTCTTGCTTCACAACACCTAGTCGCAAAAATTATTCTTCGCGAAACAGAAAAAAATGCCCAATCCGCAAAAATTTAATTTCGTGCCACACGGTACACCCACCTAGCTTGTTTTGTATCGACCATCAATTATTATTATAATTATCATTTATTTATAGTTTCAGTCCAAACAGTTTAATGAGACCCGTGGGTTGGAGTGGTGTCCGGCACGGGAATGCCGGTTTAGCAGGGTTTACTTCTTCCTTTCATACGCTGTCAGCTGTCTGTTGTGGCAAACTCGTTTTCATACAATACATAATTTCTATCTAGCCTAGGTTTTATGGCAGCCCAGTATACACCTTCTGGTGTCTAGTTAAAAAAAATAACAAAAATAACGCAACTGTGAATGACTAGCTGTCAAATAAGTCTGGCCGCGATGCACTTCGTCAGCTGGGGCATCCAACGACCGTTTTCTTGGAAATGATCTGAAATGGGTCGTTACGCATCCTGGAGTGCTTTAAAAGCAATATAAATGAATAATTCGCATCGCTAAAAAAAATTTGATCTGTTCGGTTGTCCTAGGAGTGGTTTGAACCTCTCGAATTTTTTAGGGCTGTTTTTCGCCTTTCCCGAAAATAACAGCCTACAGTGAAAGCTTTCCGAAAACGTAAGATTACCTGACGAGCTTTTCCCTTAGCCGAATTTTTTAGGGGTCCTTTCAAATTTTCTCCGAAAACTTTATCTTATGTGGGAATGTCTATCAGATAGCATCGAGCGAGTGCAGAAACGGGCGCTACGCATCATCTTTCCTGTGCTGCACTACCAAGAGGCCTTAGCTACTACCGGGTGTGTATCACTTCACACAAAAAGAATGGAGCTGTGTAGCAAATTATTCACAAAGATAAAAGAGCTCAAGTCCCGTCTTTGCCATCTTGTTCCACCGACTCGGTCGCAGGCGCACGGCCGCTCCCTTCGCAACAAAGACAGACCATCTCTTATAAGTTGCAAAACTGAACGCTTTAAATGGTTAAGGAACACAGCAATCCGAACAAAGGTTCGAAAGGTACGGCAGGTTTATACAATTTCGCGACTGCAAAGCCGCAGTCAGCGAACGAGTGAACACTGAGTGAAGCAAGATGGGCAATTAAAAACAATGGATATTCAAGTTCGGGTGAAAATCGAATAAACAGAGTAGAGTGGATATACTATAGTCACACTGTGTGGATAAAGCTAAGCCATTGGTTGGTCTGCCATTTTTCAACTTAACTTTTCTGTGGTCGCAGCGCGAATACCAAATCCAGCGATCTACTGTTTTTCACATGTACTGTTCAGACTGTTGCCTTTTATACTCATTGCATTTACTTTGCATTATATTTTACCTGAGTGGAAAACCTAATTTTTTCTCGTCAGGGGTAACCAACGACTTTTTTCTGTAAAATAACTGTTCGAAGGAGCAAATATTGCCTAGAAATTTCTAAAGCTTGTGAAAAGCTAAAACTTTCTGGATAACCGTTCCATTCGTCTAAAATATTTGGACAGTTTCTAATAGCTCAACTAAGATTTTCGGAGGTTGTGTTAGTCACATTTTAATACCAAGATATTACGATTGTTGTTAAAAAAAAGGTCTCCTAAAACTTTCGATGTAAAGACAAAGCGTCCCCTAAAACTTTCTAATGAAAGCAAGGCTCCTATATGTCCTCGTACTTTCGACCGAACCCATAAGGGTAGCCAACACTTTCAGATAAGACGAAAAAGCCACCTAAAACTTTCGTGACCACCAAAGTTCGCGTAAGACATCCGAACAGATAAATAGTTTTTAGGGCAACTCCAAATTAACCAAACGGGCTTCTAAAGCACAGGGAAAACCATTTGAGACACTTCTGGCGTATTTGGAAACATTGGGTCGTTGGGTGCCCCTGATGGAAGATTATTTCTGCCTGAACCGCTTACCTGTTTTCAGCAACCCAGCTACACTTGACTGAAAAACACTGCTAGTTGTTTAAGTTTAAGTTTAAGTCATTCATTGAGCATCAACTTGACGTATTTTAGAAACCAAATATAATTAAAGGACCTTTCATTTCTTGTGTTACTACAGCTTTATCTAAAAGTGACAATTTGTCAGAAATAGTCACGTAGCGTTTTAATAATGAACATAACGTATGAGTATTGTTTTAACAGCCGCCGTTTGTCTGGAACGTTAACACCTGCTTCAGTGTTGGCCCATCCCCCGCGAGGTTTTTCTTCACTGGGAACTCTGGTGTAACAAATATTTCCAAATTCTAATACGATCCAGAAATGATAGACGAAGGACCACTCCATATAGCGCAGAGTCAACAACTATAGTCTGTAGTGAATGAAGAAAACGTAAATAGGACGGTTGACAAGAAAATAACACATTAGAGCAATGTTTAAATCTTATCTGCACGCAGTTCAAATACATGACTGAATTTCATTAGTGTATTTCTTTCAAACAGAGGCTACACAGCCGTTGCGTGATGACACTAAAAACGGCTGTGTAGCAGACTAAGGACGTGTAGACCCGTGATCAGCTCTTGCTAATTTTTCCTCCCGTGTTCACGAGCCAGAACTGATTTATACCCTGTTTTATACGCGTAGAACAAACTGCTATCTACAAGTAATAATTTCGGTAAGTTAAAATAACTCGAGTTGTTAGTTCAAGTGACATTTTTCTTGGCACTCAGTGTAGCTGCTTAAAGCCGTCCTCATTTTCTCAAGAAGAAATGAAAACAATAAACCAACAAGGCTGTATTGCAAAGAAGAAAAGCTCACTCTTCTAAGCAACTACGTATTCAACCCGAGAAAATCAAGGGCACCCAGTGACCGAATTTTTTGAAATATGAGAGAAGTGTCTCAAATGGTTTTCTCTATGCTTTAAAGGCCTGTTTG